CCTAGGACAGGTCCGCGTACTTCATGTTCCCTCATCTTCCCAGTACGCCGACATCTTCACCAAAGGACTCCCATCACTTCTCTTCGCCGATTTCAGATATAGTCTCGGCATCTGTCCTTCATCGGTTACGTAGCTGGGAGCATGTTAAATATATATTGTATATTGAATATATTTTATATATATTTGGTAGTTTCCCTTGTATAGAAGGATTGCATTTATATCCTACCATAATTAGGAGACTTATATCTTGTATATATTCGAGGCTTGACCTCCGAGATCAACACAGAAATTCATTATTCTTCAACTATTTGTCGTTAAGATACCACACCTAAACCCACCATCAAAACAAAGGGTCCATGCCGCACGGGGAATATCATTTAAATACTTATATCCCTCCTCACTCATGTTTCGTATTTCAGCCATATATCCTTCAAACTGTTGGATATTATGTGTACTACCAGCGGCCCAAACCAAATTTTTAAGATCACTGTTCCGGAACTTTGTCATGAAGTTGCTCCGAACGTGGCGAAGACAAAAACGTTTCATTACCAATCCGGTCTATAGTTCTGGAAGGTCACGATATGAGTTGATGATTCCAATATGTCTGTCAGAAATAATACAGACTTTTTGTGAGCCGATAACCCTCTGAACAAGAAGGCGAAAAAACCAAGCCCAACTCTCACATGTTTCTCCGTCAACAACCGCATAAGCTAGAGGAAAGATTTCACGATTACCATTCATGGCAACCGCAAGAAGGAGATGACCCTTGTACTTTCCATACAAATGAGTTCCGTCCACCGTCACTACAAGCATGCAGTATTGTAATCCATGTATTGCCGCGGCGAACGCCCAAAATGCATACTTAAAGCGCGGGGTCTCTTCAGGCGTGGCAATAAGGTTTGGCGGTTCGGATGCATAGACAACATCGACTACAGTTCCTGGATAAGAATTTTGTAAATTGTACAACATAATAGGAAGCTGAGAATACGAATTCTCCCAATTACCGTACAACAACTCTGTAGCACGGATCCGAGCTAACCAACATTTTTTATACGACACAGGAACATGAAATTCCTGTAAAACATCATGTTGGATTAACTTCACTTTGTACTCCGGATCTACACGTTAGCATATGGACCAGTCTCGACCTCGTCAGCATCAAACTCATCCTCGTCTCCATGCATTTATTCGTCTTCAACAAACTCATTTTTGTCGCGGTCAACGTTTTCTAAAGCACCCCTAAGGCTGTCTCGAACCTATGCTGCAACCGCTCTGGGAACTTTACCGAGTCGACGCTCCGCTTTCTTTATTGTATTCACCTGCGAAAAAAATCAGTTAGTGAAGTATTTATTTTATTATGAGTAAATATTTATAATATCTAAATTACCAAGAATGCAAGTTTGGCAGAAGTATTTTTAGAGCCCTCTAAAGGTCGATGATATGGGTTTCCAATAATACGCCGACCGTAAGTTGCAAACCAGTGAGCATACTCCACGGTAATTTGGAATGGATTCTCTCCTACTATGGGCTCCATTTCATGGAAAACGGTAACGGCGAAGCGATTATCCCTCCATTGCGCCACGCATGCTTGTACCGTCTGGGTCGATTTACATCACTTGGTTTTATAATAGGCCTCCGTATACGGATGGGTAAGCTCAGGAATGGTTTGCAACATCCCAAACTGTCGTGTGAATCGCATAGGCATGACAGGCTCAATAATCGAACGATAAATAACATAGTCTTGAAAAGTTCATAGTTGAGGAGTACGACGATAATAAGCAGGCAAGTTATCAATATCGTACGGTTGCCAAACAACCTGTATATTGTCAGAACTATTATTAGTCAATGCATTATCTATTTTTTACAAATTATTTTCTAAATTATTTTATGAATATTAATCTTACGTTTCGGAACTGCAAGGAGTCAAGTTGATTCCTAAAGTAGCGTACATTTTGTCTAGCAGAGGCACTGTACATCTTGGCATGTCTCCATCTGAATAATAATAAATGTATATGAACTTGAATAAAATAAGAGAAAAAAGTTATAACCTCGATAATCTAAATTAATGTAAATAAATACCGTGCACCAAATGGATTGTTCGGAACATTATTCACTATGGGTCTTATGGTCAAAATCCGAGTCCACGCCCATAATTGCAATAGAAGAAGACAACCCCCAGGACGCGTTCGCGGGTTAGTCTTCAACGCAGCCTTACAGAGCGAAAAATTTAATCGCGCTAAAACTGCAGAGCCCCAACTAAAAGTAGATGTTTCATTAAAATCTCGTAAGTATCTCACGAAATCAATCGGTGCGTACATACCCGAAGAATCTGGAAATAATAAACCACCCATATAAGCATATGTGAGCCTAGCGGTATATTGAGCCACCATCTGATCATGCCATTCATTATTTGGTTGAATGGTTTGTCCATAAAAAATAAGGGCAATCTTGAATTGGTCAAAACGACCAAAATGGGTGTCTTCGGTTGTCCACATCAAAACATCTCTAAATAAGACATTTCGTTCCTCAATATTTAAATCAAAGCCCATGACGGGTAGTCCATCAATCGGAAGTCCTAGTAAGCATTCCACGTCCTGTAACGTGATACCCATCTCGTCAAAAGGAAACTGAAATGCGTGTAACTCCGGTCTCCAACGCTCAACAAGAGAAGTGATTAGACCATGGTCTAATCGGATAGGTTGCACACGGTGCACTCCATAAAACCCTGACCGGTGCAACATTTCATAAACTCTATCATAAAAAAAAACCGTTGGAAGACTACCTTCGTAGCGAACCGGAGAGACTTTGTTGTCTATAAAATCCGGGTTATGCCACACCTCACGCGAACGATGTGTAGCTTGTAAAGTAAGAATGTCCCTCGATCTAGGACCCGCTATTTCTCTCTCAGGATCATACATTATGCTTCAAAAAAATTCTAATGAGCTTCTATCTACTCATAATACAATAAAATGGTTAAAAAAATTTGTTTTAAAAAATATGCATTACATATTGTAAAATTAAAAAAAAATGCATTACATATTGTAGAATTTAAAAAAAATGCATTACATATTTAAAAAACTTATAAAGATTTATTCTAAGAAAACATACCTCAACTTCTTGGATGATTATGGAAGAATAGATAAGTTTTGAATATTTAGTGAGAAAAGAAGATAAAGAATGTGAGATGTAGTTGAAGAGATTATGTATTTTGTGTAAAAAGAAGGAAAAGATTTGATTATTTGTAGTGGAATTGGGAGGAGTAGTAGAAGGGATTAAGTGTGGGAATAGAGAGAGGTGGAGTGTGTAATGGAGAAAGGAAGGGGGTCACTGCGCATGCACTGCGCATACTTGTGCCTTTTACTGTAGCGCTTGAAATGGCTTTGTAAAAGCCGAAAAAAATTAAATTAAAAATAAAAAACGAAAATGGCTTTATGAAAGCCAAAAACCATTTAAAAAAAATAAAAAAAACGGCTTGTCAAAAGCCGATTTTCCTTCCCAGGAATTTACTTTTCCCATTTGGGAATTATATTCAAAAAAATTTCCCTCTTAGGGAAACAGCCCTGAAGTATAGCTATGCGAATATTTTTCAAAATGTCACAATCAAATAAATCACCATCACCGCACTTTAATCGCAAATGTGTTTTCGAATTAGCTGGCCATACACGTGTAAAATCAGCCTCCATTTGTGCACTAGTAGATATAAAGGGAGCAACCTTTTAACGTAGGAACATGCTACATAGGGAGAAACCTTTTAACGTAGGAACATGCTACATGTACCCAAAATTTGTATCCCATTTGTACACCATAATTATGCACCATTATTTTGATAATTTACACTGATACAAATATTGTTGTGTTAACAAAAATTTACATTAACACAAAGTGTTGGTGCGTTAACAAAAATTAGTATTACACCAACACAAAATGTTGATGCATCCTTGCGGTGTACAAAATGGGGTATAAATCCATAGGGAGAAATAGTTTTATCCTTTAATCTAACCTCTTCATACTTTACTCGCATAGAAATGAAAAAAGAGGTGGACAATTTAAATAACTCTATATTCATTTTTAATATCTTTGTCGCTAATATAGTTAAACTGTTGAAGAAAAGAGCGTGTTCCATAATTTAAAAGAATAATATTTGCAGAAAATGGTGAAAAGTGAACTAGTTGCGGTTCTAGCACATCTTGTATATGATGTCACTCATATTCCTATCATAAGTGATACATACTGAAAAATTCAAACGTTTTATATAACCGAAGCTAGAACGGCCATTGGGACCACTAGAAAAACGGTAATAACTCATAAATGTTTCAAAAACATCGACATCATTTGTTAAATTTTGAAATAATGATTTAGATTAGTAAATTTCTCAGACTTCGTTCAATACACGGAATTTAAGTATTAAATTATAATTGAAGACTTCAATTCTCCTTTTATGTTTGGTAGTACAAAAATATATAAATTTAGAGTCGAATTTTAAATACAAATTTTCAAATCTCATATTTTAAATTCCATAACACATAAAATGAGTTTGAAATTGAATTCTATATCAATAATTTAATTATGCCAAACAAAAAATTTGGAATTGAAATAAGATTTAAATCCATTTAATTCAACTCTATAAAATTCGAATTGCAATTCAATTTTATTTTTGTGTGCCAAATGCCCAAATCAAACCTTAGAATAGTTTTTTGAATCTTTCATGGAAAAAAATGTCACCCAAAATAATAAAACAAGATAAACGTCCCGCGAGCAAATTGTCCTCAAATGATGAGGCCGGTTGCATCGTGTGCTCACGGTTTGGCCCAAAACGGATACCAAACGGCCCAATAATCAGCTCAAAGGCGGTGGAGTCCGTACGTGCAGTGGAGGGACACCTCATCGCTCTAGAAGCTTCCAAAACCCTACCTACCAGCTTCGTTCTGGAATCCATTCCGGACCTCCTCCCGCTATATAAGTGAAGTGCGAGCCGGATATACCGCAGAGGAATTCGCTCTGTAGTAACGCCGTCGTTCATATTCTTCACCCCCGCAGAAACCCTAAGCTTTTCGAGCAAGCTACAATGGCGGCTCCCTCTAAAGTCCTGCTCAAAAATCACCTCTCCACCTCCTCCGAACTCCTCAACCGAGCTCTTCGCTCCGCTCGCCTCTCCTCCGGCGCGCCTCGCCTCTTCAACACCAGCGCCGCCGCTCTCACTGACTCCGATTGCTCTGATGACGAGGATTTCGGAGCTTCCTACGGCGTTGATCCCCGCTCCGGCCGCCGTTCTCCGTTCGTCAGCTGCTTGATCGCTCCATTCTCCAGCGGTATATATGAGCTTGGCTTGTTGTTTACATTTCCTCCAGATCTGAGATCGATCTCGTTTTCTGCCCTTATTTTAGATGTTGTACTGCCTGTATTTTTGAATTTCAAGTTTCATCCGCCTCGTGCAGATGCGTTTCTTCCGATGTCTGGGAGAAGCTTGATGGAGGCGATGGAGATGAAGGAATCTCCGGCTGCGAAGGGCTTGCTGACGTCTCGCGCGGCCAACTACAGCGTCACGGACAACAAGGCGGACGGGGTTCATCTGAGGTTCGAGATGCCGGGGCTGGGAAAGGACGACGTCAAGGTTACGGTGGAGCGTGTTGGGCCCCCACTGCAAATAAATGGAAAGAAAATAAAAGAGAGCACACAAATTTTTAACGTGGTTCGGCAGCTCAAGACCTACTCCACGACCTCTTCTGGGATAAAATTTCACTAGTAATTTTTGCACGGAAAAATTACAAACCCTCTCTAATATTTGACACTCACAACCTAAAATCTAATACACAATTATATAGATTGAAGGATTGTGTTGTGTGATGGAAGCCTATATCTCCTATTTATTTATAAGCTCCAATCCCTCCTCAATTTTCCTATCCCACCGATGTGGGACTTTGAAGTAACACTCAACAAATCTTCCCTTAATTCAAAGTCCTACATCATTTGCGATTTCTGCAGCGATACTTCCATCCTGCAGAATCTTCTGTCCAGCAGTACTCTTATCTTCAGAGAAGATCATCTTCATAAGTGATCACATTTGCAAAAGAAGTTTCCTTCGATTTGCCCTTTTCTCCTTTAGGATCTGTAAGTTCTCCTTGAGTTCTGGACAACCGTTCTTCGTGTGACCCAACTTTTCACAGTAATAGTACATAACAGTGCTCATGTCTCTCAGCTGAGATCTTCTCCCAAGTTGGTCACTCTTTTTCTTCCTCCCTTTCTCAACACTCACAGCAGCTAGTAAATGACTGTCTCCGGAAGACTCTTCACCTCCCATCATCCTTTGATTCTCCTTCAAGGCAGTCGTCACCTCATCTAGTTGCAGTGTAGTCCTTCCTGCTATCATTGACTGCACAAACGACTTAAAGGATTTTGGTAGTGAAGCCAGTAGAAGCAGCCCTTGCTCTTCATCCTTGATAGTCTCCCCTGCATTTAACAGCCTTGATACTTGCTCATTAAACTTGTTGACGTGATCAATTACGCTACCTCCCTCTTCCATCTTCAGTGAGTACAAGTCCATCATCATCATCAACCGGTTAGTAAGTGTCTTCGACGCAAACTTGCTCTCCAACATTTCCCACAGCTTCTTTGGTGATGTCTCTTTCAGCACTGTCACTTTAATCTGTGGGGACAGTGCCAACCGAATTGTGCTGACAGCCTTTTTCTGGATTGTACTCCACTCTGATTCTTTCATATCACTTGGCTTCTCATCTTGCAATGCTAAATCAAGACCTTGCTGGACCAAATAGTCTTGAATCGTGCATTGCCACAACATGAAGTCCGCTCTTCCATCAAATAACGGAACTTCAAACTTCAAGGTAGTCATAGTTCCACTCAAGCAGCAATCAACCAATACCAAACAATCCAAATTTGAGGAAACTGGCCTCAAAAAT